CACATGAATAGTTCCCTTTTTTGAATAATAAGAATTATATGCCACAGGGGGGACATCAGGATTTTAGAGGTGCTTAGGTGGGGCATGGCCACAAAATAGTTGGGAACCACTGCTCTATACACATGCTGTGAATCTCAGCTTATGTATTAAATATAATAATATATGTATTTATTGCCAACAGGATTTCACAGGTCTTTGGTGGATTTTCTTAGAGCTCCTGCATTCTAAACCAGGGCCATCAAATGGACCTTTGTGAGAAATGGCAATGCACACTACTCAATATGGTAGGCCTTACCTACGTGTCTATTGAGCACTTGAAATGTGCTAGTACAAATGAGAAAATGAATATTTTAAATTTTTATTTTTTATTGTTGTAAAATACACCTAAAATTTACCATCTTAATCATTTTTTTATTAAATTTTAGAGAGAGAAGAAAGGAGAGGGAGGGAAGCCGGAGGAAGGGAGAGAAACATAGATGTTAAGAGCCAAACATCAAGAATTAAACTGGCAACCTTTCAGTGCACAGGACAACATCCAACCAACTGAGCTACACCAGCCAGAGCGCCATCTTAACCATTTTTAAGTGCACGGTTCAACAGTATCTATATATACAAAAGGCTAAGCGACAGTCCGACTGTCCCACCAGCCAGTAGGTATGATGCACACCGACCACCATGGGGCAGACACTCAACGCGGGAGCTGCCGAGCTGCGGTGACGTGGCAGCAGCAGTTCTCAGGTGATGCTCCCCAGAACCAGAGAGGAGGAGCCCGATTCCGGGGTGCATCACCTGACAACTGCCCTCTCACAATCCAGGACCCCTCAGGGGATGCTGAAGAGCTGGTTTCAGCCCGATCCCCACAGGCCAGGCCAAGGGGCCCCACCTGTCAGAGGGACCCCCTCACTCTACAGGCGCCTTTGAGCCATGCAGCTGCCCCCGGTGTGGCTGGCCAGGGAGGGACAGTGGGAGGTTGGCTCCAGGGCGTGTCTGGCGCCCTAGCCCAGTCTCACCCCACTGGCCACCTTCTAATTAAATTTCTTTCAATGTGCACGAATCCGTGCACCAGGGCACTGGTTAAATACATTTAGAATGTGCAACCATCACTACCATCCATCTCCATAGCTCTTTTCATCTTTGTGATTGTCAACAGGTGTCCCACAGAATTTTAAAAACATTCAATACCTGACTATTTAGTCAGGGGCACTGACCTTTTTCCTTATATTGTCAAATTTAAAAAATGACAACAGCCAACATGATAGCTGTCCAGTGTGAATGAATCAAAATTATACCTATTTTTTGGTCAGATCAGCAAAAAATATAATTTTTGGTGTGCTGCAGAATTTTAGTAATTAGTCTGTGTGTCCTAAGAGATGAAAAAGGTTGAAAATCGTTGCTCTATACCCATTAAATACTAACTCTCCTCAGTCCCTGAGAACTACCATTGTACTTTCTGTCTCTATGATTTTTACTACCCTAAGTATTTAAGTGGAATCATACAGCATTTTTGTATTTTTGTGACTGGTTTGTTTCACTCAGTATAATGTCCTCAAAGTTTATCCATTTTGTAGCATGTCTCAGAACTTCCTTTTCAAAGCTAAATAATTTGCTTATAGGTTCATCTGTTGATAAACATGGGTAGTGTCCACATTTTAGCTAAAATTAATAATGCTGCTGTGAACATGGGTGTGCAAATATCTCTTCAAGACCCACCTTACAATTCTTCTGGGGATATAACCAGAAGAGGAATTACTGGATCATAGGGTAATTCTATTTTCAATTTTTGAGGAATCTTCATACTGTTTTCCATTATCAGATGAACCATTTTATTCTCTTACCAACAGAGCACAAAGTTTTCCATTTATCCATATTCTCACTAGTGTTGTTATTTTGTGTGGGGTTTTTCATAGTAACCATCTTAATGTGTAGGCTGGTATCTTTTTTAAAAAATATATATATTTTATTGATTTTTTTTACAGAGAGGAAGGGAGAGGGATAGAGAGTTAGAAACATCCGATGAGAGAGAAACATCAATCAGCTGCCTCCTGCACTCTCCCCACTGGGGATGTGCCCGCACCAAGGTACATGCTCTTGACTGGAATCGAACCTGGGACCCCTCAGTCCGCAGGCCGACGCTCTATCCACTGAGCCAAACCAGCTAGGGCATTGGTATCTTATTTTAAGATGGAATCTCATGCCCTAGCTGGTTTGGCTCAATGGATAGAGCATTGGCCTGCAGACTGAAGGGTCCCAGGTTCGATTCCAGCCAAGGGTACATGCCTGGGTTGCTGGCTCAATCCCCAGTAGGGGGTGTGCAAGAGGCAGCCAATCAATGATTCTCATCATTGATGTTTCTATCTATTTCTCCTTCTCCCTTCCTCTCTAAAGTCAATAAAACATATTAAAAAAAAAAAAAAAGATGGCCCTGACTGGTTTGGCTTAGTGGATAGAGCATCGACCTGGTCACTCAAGGGTCCCAGGTTCAATTCCAGCCAAGGGCATGTACCTTGGTTGCGGGCACATCCCCAGTAGGGAGTGTGCAGGAGGCAAGCTGATCGATGTTTCTAACTCTCTATCCCTCTCCCTTCCTCTCTGTAAAAAATCAATAAAATATTTTTTAAAAAGATGGAATCTCATTGTAATTTTGATTTCTTTTCCATAATGACCAGTGATGTTTAGCAGCTTTTCACGTGTTTATTGGCCATTTGTTTATCTTCTTTGGATGAATGTTTTAATTTTATTTCATTGTTATTGATCTTACATAGCCACATGTGGCTAGGGGCTTCCCTATTGGACAGTGCAGCTCTAGACCATCCTGATGCTGGAAGTACTTTGGAGACCCAATGCAGTAAGGACAGTGAGCTCTGGAGGCAGATGGACCCAGTCAGATACTCTCTGGTTCTGTAGATTTATTTAGCCAGTCACTTAAACTTCCTATACCTCAGTTTTCACATGTGTAAAATGGGACCAATACCTCCTACTTCTGAGAATGAAATGAGCAAACATACATGTAGCCCCTGGTACAGCCTTAGTGCATGGGAGAGAGAATTTAAGCCAACGAGACATGCCTATCCTCACACCCCAGTGCTCACTGAAACCTGATGCAAATGGATTGCAGTCATTTGCCAGAGAAATGGACTTTTGGTTCTAGAAAACAAGGACTTTTATAGCTGTCACCCATAGGACTAAAAAATGGAAGGGTGGATTGTGGTGAGAGCTGGAAAATCTCGCTCCCCTGACACGCTGTGCAGATGCAGTCTTGGCTAATAACCAACAGAAAAGTAAAGCTGTTGAACTGCCCGTTCTAGCATACAGGGCCCTCTCCTCTGTGAAGCAGCCAAAAACACCTGCAGAGGACGAGTCCTGTAAGAAAACCCTCTACGTGACACGTGACTCAGGACGGTCCTGAGACTGTTTCGGGGGCCACGGCCTTTCTTCCCTCTTGCTCAGCCACACTGTGAAGCCCGGGTCCCCCAGTGGAATACAGCAACTTTTCTCAAAGTGTAATCCAGAAATGCCTGGGCTCTCCAAGACTCTTACAGGACACCATGAGGTCAAAACTATTTTCATAATAATAGTAAGGCCGTACTTGCCTATTTCACTCATTCTCTACAAGTGTACAGAGTTCAGAAAGTTTATTGACAAGATTTCCAGATTCCACATTGAAACTAACCTTTAAGAAACCACAATATCAATTTTTGGAGTACTATCAACAAAAAATACCCACAGTTATCTGAAAAGGCTATTAAATATACTCCCCTTTGTTCTAAGTACATATATGTTTGAAGCCAAGCTTTCTTCAACTGTTGCATCCAAAACTATACTTTGCAAATTATACCGGGTTAAATGCAGAAGCAGATATGAGATCTAGCTATCATTTATCATTAGGTGTTAAAGCAATTTT